GCCAGCAACCAGGAAAAAAATTTTCCCAAAGTCGCAAATTTCTCTCAGAAAGCAAACACTACCCCCCCCCCCTTATAGCGCCCGTCCCTTCTATGAAAATTCGCCATCCCATTTTAGACCAATTTCGATCGCTTGTTCGTTTCAGCATTTGGTGATGAACAAGCTGGCGCCGCGCCAAACCCATCTCTGTGACACACCCCAGCACCCACAGGCGAACAAGACTGTAAGTATAGCTTCCGCAAGCAAGGATCTGGTTTACCTTCAGCCGAATGGAGATGTGGAGCTGGACGGGGTGTTGTAGGGGTAGCTTATTAATGAAATGGTGCAGTGAGCCGAGTTAAGTAGCTAGGGAATGTTCTGTGTGACGCTGCAACGCGGATTCGCAATTTCCCTTGCCCCACATCAGGAAAAGTACTGAAGCCACGAGTCGATTCGTAACAGAACAACATTTCCATTACCAGTTTCGGATCGCATAAAATGCGCTTCACAAAGTTCTCAAAGATATGGTGACAGAGATAAACGTGACTGGAAGCAGAAGAAAAGTTGTCGAGAAAATTGCTCATTTTTGGAGGAACTCGAGTTGAAAAGTTTGATTTACCTTTTCTTCAGAATTACTTGCATGGTTTCAATTTATACCACACAGAAAATTAGTGCATTAGGATACTGCTCAGGGCATAATAGGTCAGGGGTTTTCAAGGCCTTACGACCCCTCCCTAAGGGGGGGGGGTTGATACGACCCACCCCTCCATGATTGATGCTTTCAGTCTGTTGTTTTTTCCAGGGCATAGTCTGGTTTTTCCTCAAATTTTGTTGTCGAGCGGGGAGGGGTATATAGCACGAGTGAAACTGTGAAACGGGGAGCAACCGGAATAACGCTGCAAATTTCTCTCAAAGCCAATTACGACTTATCCCCTTACAGCCTCCTTGAAACAAGAAAAATCAACTATAAAAAATTTTCTTAGACCAAATACGACACGCCCTCCCCCCCCAGCAACCAAATAAGGTGCCTCCCCTTTTGGAATCCCCAACGATCATGTGCCCCAAGCACCTGTGCCGCACCTTACTGTAGCCACGAAATCACTGCGATCGTCTTTATCACGCTTCAGTGAGATAATACAGTCCAAAACCCATTGCGGCCATTCGCGCAAAAACCCGTAATTGCGGCCGATAGCGGCCCATAACCCTAAAGGTGGGGAAAGCTGAGCGGTCAAAGGTTGTAAATATTCCTCGCTTGCGGAGGGTGTGCCCCTCATCTCAACCAACGACCCGTTCTCGCCTTCATCCTTTTTTTCGAACCCTCTGGATTTTTTTGAATCGAATTATGAACCGTAACCGTTGTCTCAACACCGCCCCGGTTCTGTGCACGCCTTGTCCACTGAGCAAGGCTCAATTCAAAAATAGGGCGCAATTCAGCGAGAGGGGGGGAGCATTTTGCCCTTTTGCTGCTTCACTGTCAGGTTTACAAGTCTCACTCTGGTGAAACTTGTGAACTCTTGTGAAGCTGGAACAAGCTCGTCGAGCCACCATGGTGAAACCTGTCAACTCAAGAAACGGGCTCTCTATATGGGTCGACAAGTCGATGAAAATTGCAGGAGTCAAAATGCCCCTCCCCGCCGCCAAATTGTCTCCAAAAACAGTAGTGTCAGGAAAGGAACACTTTCATCACTCCGTAAGATGAGGGCTTAAATCAGTGTGTTGCCAGGGTCACTAGATAACATTGTTTATGTCTGGGACCACGAGTTGGAATCGATTTCTATAGTTTTTTCACAGGGAAAATCAGCTTAGTACCTTCTTTCAAGACCTACAAACGATTCAGATGATTACGACGAATCAATGAACATATAGTAAGACAAAATGAATAGTAAGGTAAACTGTTGAACGAGAGGAAAGAATAAAATTATCTTCTCTAAAATCGACCGTCATCAAAATTTCCCCAAGCGTTCACGTCAGTAACAGAAATTTCACAAGAAAATAGGAAAGTGGCAGATACTTATTTTACTACTAC